AGGGTCTTACTCTGAAGCCAACATCTGCCTGCAGTACTCGGAGAGGCTGTATGTTTCTGGCATCCACGCTCAGTGTGCTCTGGCAAGGGGGTGAGTGAAGGTGGGAGTCTCCCCCCGCCCCCCGCCCAGCCCAGCAGCCAGGTTCTGACTTCACCTGCCATCCCTTTCCAGTTTAGTCATACTCTTACTTGCCTTCATAGTCCTCTGTCCTCTTATCTGTCCATCTGTGTACACTGATCCTTCCTGGTCTGCTTCTGGGTCTCTGGTCTATTCCCTAGTCCCTCCTTGCTGCCCTTAGTTGGGGAGCTGCCACTTCAGACCCCTCCTTACACCTGCTCTGTCTTTGGTCTCCCAGCATTCTCTGGATCCCACTAGGCTCCCATGGCTCATTCCACCAATCCCCTGGTGCAGACGACCTCAGGCCCATCAGAGAACACCCTGGTTGCCCTTGTGCACAAGCAGTGCTCTCTTGGAGGCTTCCAGGGGCTGCCGGATGCAGCAGCAGGAGGACATGTGGGAAGAGCCAGCCCCAGCATTGCCTGCCTAGCCTCTGACCTCCCATCAGGGAGCCCGTTCCCCTCTTGGACCTTGCTGGGAGGACAAAGTCCCTGGAAAGGAGAGTGGAGGGGACCCATGGGCTCACGCAGGGCCAGCATATGTCTGTGTTGCTGTGTGCAGAGCCGGCAGCAGCAGCCTTAGGAGCATGGCTGGCGTTGTTGCCTCCCGCATCTGCCTGGTCTGAAGGGATGCCTGCCCCCAGCTTCACTCCCCCTGCTCTTTGGCCATGATTCCTGCTCTTCCTCTTCCCTTTCATTTCAGCGTCTACCTTGGAGGAGGCAGAAAACAAGAGAGCAAGTGAGAGAGTAGGGGATGAGGAGAAAACAGGAGGACCTGTTTCCAGGTGGGTCAGTCCAACTCCATTCCTACCAGAGATGCTCCGAGAGGCAGCATCACCTGGTGGTTAAGAGCCCAGGGTCTGGAGTCAGCTACAGCTGTCACCCCGGGGCAAGTTGTGTCTCTGCTCTCCTCACCTGTAGCGTGGACTCAGCAATAACACCCGCTCGTAGGGTGGCTATGCACAGGGCTATTGCTCAGCTTGCGCACCTGCTGGTACAGCTTTTCCTGCTTCCTGTGGCAGGTGTGTATTCTGATCAGAGGGTGCCCATATTTACTATCAAATCCTTCAGCTATCGCCCCAATTACAGTGCATGTAAAGCACATGTTACAGCATCTGGTCCACAGAGAGTTGCTAAAAGAACAAGAATAATATTTTATTAAAGTATTAAATAGTAATAATCACTACCTTAATTATTAAATTATTATAGTCTTTAAAATAGTGTTTTTGTTTTATTATTTTATTTAGTGGCTAGGACAGGAGTTGAGAGAAATGACAAGAGGTTTGTAACCTTAGTGCCAACTCTCTCATTCTTTTTCCCTCAACCTACTTGCGTCCTGACTATTCCCCAAGGCACTCATGATTTCCAGACACAGATACTTTTCTCCAGATCTCTGATAAACTCAAAGGGAAAGTGTAGGGACAGAGACAATATCTGGAATCTCTTCCTTCTCTCTCTCTTTTTTTTCCTGGTTCCCAGGGTCTCTCAGTCTGTTTATCATTCAGCCAAGCAGTTACTAGGTCTTACTATGCGCTGGGCTCAGTATGAAGTAATGAGGGTGCAGTGGGAAACAATTAAATTGCACACAGTGAAAGAGCTGCTAGCAGGCTGTGTCTGACCTCAGGATCCCAGTTTTCTTGGGCCTATCTTGAGCTAGCACAGAGGCTGAGGAGCTGAGCAGCTGGTAGCCAGGGGTTCTGGGTCCTAATCTGAACTCTGGGACAAGCTCCCACTGTGACCTGGGATCTGTCTCTTTCCTATGTGTCCTCTCTGCACACGGCATCTTGGGTCACAGGGAGGCTTTCTGTTTCAGCCCTTGCAGTGGCCAAAGATCCCACCAACCTGCCTTGGAACCTGGTGACCAAAACTGAATCTGACTTTAAGGAGTGATGCCAGGGTATGGGTCTAACTCTCTTAGACTTTTCCCTGTAGACAAGGGATCTGCTGAAGGATGAAAGGAAGGAGTGGCCCAGTCAGAGTTCTCTTTTAGAAAGAGCACTCTGGAGGCTAGTGCAAAGAATGGTCTGGGTAAAGACCCAGCTGCAGGATGGAAATGAAACCAGAGAGAGGGGCCAAGTGTCTAGTTTAGACACTGTCTAGTAGCAGTAGAATTGGAGAGGGACAGGTGGGTGTGAAAGGCATTTTGAAGGTGGCAGCAATAGGAAGTTGGAGTTGGATAGGATGCGGGGAGATGGGAAAGGAGCTGAGGAGATTTTCTCATTTCTGATTGATATGACTTTGTTTACCTCAGAGATACCATCAATTAATCTGTGTGTGTGTGTGTGTGTGTGCGTGCACACATCTATACCCATATATTATATAGTTAAATTAAAAGCCCAACACAAAATTCTTTGCCCTCACATTTGCCTTTCCCCCAAGAATCAAAAACAGAAAACATTTCAGTAAATTGAAGGCTCATTAGTTGAGTTCTGGTTAGCTATGGTTTTGCTACACATAGAAAACCTTATTGTTACTACAGAATGAATGAGACTCCATTTCTCCTATACACTCCATCTCTGAGCCTCAGTTTCTCATCTATGAGGTAGGAACAATGATCCCTATCGTATACATCTCACAGAGTCATCATGAGGCTCAAAGAGAATGAATGTCGAGGTATATTGTAAGCTACACCTCAAAAGCCAAATTCTATATTTTTGGCCCAAATAGAGTCACAGAAGCCAGTTCATCATGGCCGATAATAATGCCTCCCTTTGTTCTCCCTCACATGGGGCTTCTGGTTATAATCCTGAGAGTCAGGCAATTTTTTTCCCAGGGGAAAAGAAACGTTTTCCCCTCAGGAGAGTCAGGGGAAGGATGACAGGGAGCCAGGGTTTCAGGGAGCCTGAGTTTCTGACCCAGGATCCTGGTTGTGGAACAGCACCCTTGGGCACACTTTGTTGGTTTATAGACAGCTTGTTCCAGTTGCCCTCTGCCTCCCTGCACGGATCAACCATGTTAAGCACTCTTTAACATAAGACTATGAAAGAGTCAGTCCATCCATCAGCTGTGTGTGAAAAATTAAAAGCTAGAAATGGCAGCACGTTTCCCACTCTTGGCCCCAAGGTGGAGTATTCTCACCTTGGGTCCTTGGGAAATTTCTCTCAGGAAGAGGGTCGCTTGCAAGGTAGGTATTTTTATTCCTATCTTACAGATGAAGAAACTGAGGCTTGAGAAGTAAGCTAGCAGCCCAAGGTCACATAGCAAGTAAAGCCAGAGCTAGGATCGAAGCAGAACCCACTGTCTCTAAACCCCACGCTCTTTCCCCCTGGGGAGAGAATGTGACTTAAAAAAGACCTTTCAGTGAAAGGGGATTTAATAAAAAAATAGTTATTTTCCAGCTATCTGACTATTGGATAGCTATTGGATAATGTCTCTGAAGGTTCTGGAAAAGTGCCTAGCATATAGGAGGTTCAGAGTGTATGCAGTCCTTTGGTCAAAGTCAAGAAACCATCTGATGGGTTCAATGTAGACACAGGTTCTTGTGCAGATTCATTCATGATGCTCTGAAGGAGAACAAGCAGACTGGAGAACAAGTAGGTTGCATCAGATAAATTAGTGCCAGGAGAAGGAAAATATTGACAGCATCAAGATTGCTCCCATTCCCTAAGTACCAATGATGCAGATGACACCTCTTCGATGAGGCTGTCCTTTCCCTGTTCTCCATGAAGAAGCTGAAGCTCAGGGAGGTTGAGAAACAGCTGAGAGTCAGTAAGAAGCTAAAAGAAAGAAAGAAATACTCTCTGTTATGGGAAGGAGCAACAGAGAGTGGGCATCTGGGAGAGTGAAAATTGATTATGGGCTTCAAGTATGATGGGGTACTTCTCAGGAAGTTTGCTTGCATAGCTCAGACCTGAATCTCAGTTTTGTGTATGGAAAACCATCCAGAAATACAGTTAACACTCACTATGCACCTTCCCCGTCGTTGGCCTTCTGTGTGATGCTTTTCATGCCCAAACGTCATTCCTTGATATCATATGTCATAGATACCATAGTCTTACAGCAAACTTGTAGCTAGGAGACAATCATCTTCATTTTGTACTCAAGGAAGCAGTCTCAAATGGGTACATGAGTGGGGTAAAGGGCTTGCTCAAGGTCATTCACTTAGTAAATTATAGAGCCAGGACTTAGAACTCAGTGCCTTCTAACAAGCCATGGCCCAAGAGGGGGCCTGTGGGTAGCAGAGATGGCCCAGCCTGGAGAGGACTGAAGATAAAATTAAACTGGAAAATAAATTGATGTCTTCAACAGGACAAACTAAGTTCTTTCACTGTAATTTGCCAAATTGCATAGAGGCTGTATGCCAATATTTATCTCTAAATCTCTGGCTGCCTTACTAAGGAGAAGGGATGCTAAGGGGAAGTAGAGATCAGCTAGCCCAACGCTTTCATTTTACAGCTGAGGGATCGGAGGCTAAAATGGGTAATTACTGGTGGGTCAGAGACAGAGCCTTGACCTGAGGTGGAAGCCCTTTCCTCGTCACAGATTTCTTGAGAGCAGTGGCAGTGGCCAAGAGCAGGTAAAATGGGCTGTTGTGGGGCACCTGGGTGGCTCAGTTGGTTAAGCATTTGCCTTTGGCTCAGGTCATGATCCTGGGATTGAGCCCCACACCAGGCTCTCTCTTCAGTGGGAAGCCTGTTTCTTCCTCTCCCTCTGCAGCTCCCCCTGCTTGTGCGCGTGCGCTCTCTCTCTCTCTCTCCCTCTCAAATAAATAAATAAATAAATAAATAAATAAAATGGGCTGTCACGTTGAGGGGGATCACAGTGTCTCATAACTGGACACTGACGACTGCTACTCCAATCCCATCAGTAACCCTCACCCTGGTGCACAGTTTAGCTAGTTCTCTGTCTGAATAGATTCCTTTCTTTTTCATTTAGAAGTAGGACATGATGCAAGACCCTAACCAGTCCTACGTGACTGAATTTATCCTTTTGGGCTTTTCATTCAACCCCAGGACAACTCCTCTGCTCTTCTCAGCCTTCTTGATGACCTACCTGTTGATTATTCTGGGCAACAGCTTTATCACCATCCTCATCTGCCTGGACTCACACCTCCACACACCCATGTACTTCTTTATTGGCATCCTTTCCATGTTGGATCTGGGCTATACCACTACAACTGTGCCTCAGATGTTGGCACATCTAGCCAGCCAGAAGAAGACCATCTCTTTTGCCAGCTGTGTGGCCCAAATGTACATTTTCTTGGTGCTAGGCATCACTGAGTCTTGGCTCTTTGCCATGATGTCTATAGACAGGTATGTGGCCATCTGCCACCCACTCAGGTACAAGGTCATCATGAGCCCATGGCTATGTGGGCTAATGGTCATTTTCTGTGGACTCTGGGGTGTCATCTCTGCTCTTATCTATACTGTCTTTGCCATGCGTCTGCCGTATTGTGGCCCCAACAAGATCAACCACTTCTTCTGTGAAGTCCCTGCAGTCTTAAAGCTGGCTTGTGCAGACACCTCAGTCAATGACTGGGTAGACTTCATTCTCGGTTTTAGTGTCATCCTGATCCCACTCTCCCTTATCCTTGTCATTTATGTCAATATCTTCATTGCCATCTTGAGAATCTGTTCAGCCCAGGGGCGACTGAAAGCCTTCTCCACCTGTGCCTCCCATATCACTGTGGTCACCATGTTCTGTGTGCCAGCCATGGTCATGTATATGAAGCCTGGCTCTGGGGCCTCCCTGGAAGAGGACAAGAAGTTGGCCCTGTTCTACAATGTCATCTCTGCTTTCCTCAACCCTATCATCTACAGCCTCAGGAACAAGGACGTGAAGAGGGCTTTCTTTAAGGTGGTGAGCTGGGGCAGGGCTCCAGAATGAGATCCTAGAAGGATAGCTGAGAGACAGAGAAACAAGATTCAGGATGCACAGTCAATGCCTTAAACATTTAATTGACAGACTAGTCACCATGAAATATCTCATAGACATGTCAATCTTATTTTTTTAAGATTTTATTTATTCATTTGACAGAGAGAGAGATCACAAGTAGACAGAGAAGCATGCAGAGAGAGAGGGGAAGCAGGCTCCCCCGCTGAGCAGAAAGCCTGATGCGGGCCTCGATCCTAGGACCCTGAGACCACGACCTGAGCCAAAGGCAGAGGCCCAACCCACTGAGCCACCCAGGTGCCCGACATGTCAATTTTACAGCTTTCTTTTGTTTTAGAGTCTCAGGACATAACAAAAGAAGGGGTGTCTGAGCCATTGAAGTCTTTTATTGAGACAAAAAGAATGGGCTTTGGGGTATGCTGTGTAGCTGGATCTTGAGAAAGGTTCATTCTCCTCTGGAAACCACACACATTTTGTGTTAGGTTAGCTGGAGGGAAGGGTAAGGGCACTAACATTGGAGGATTCCTGGCCTCTGGAGGATTGAGTGAGTGAACATCACTGCAGTGACTTGGGGGTGTGGTATGCTTGCTTTGGACATGGAGATTGGAAACACGCTGGGATGGTTGGGGACCAGCTGTGATCAGCTGCATTGATCTCCCTGAGACCAACCCCTGAGACCCATCTCAGGTCACTCTCTTCCTCCTTCTCTCTTTCCAAGTAAACTGGCCTCTCTTTGCCTTGACTGTGTCATATTCTTTCCCATTTCAGGGCTTCCACATATGGTCTTTTTCTCTCCTCACCCTTAACCCCACCCCACCTCCATCTGACTCCATTATAACATTGACTCCTGTTCATCTGTCGGGTCTTGGCTTAAACTGCAGCTCCTCAAATAAGCTTTTTCTTGAGCCCCCAGAGTGAGCCTTCCAAAGCACCCTGTACCTTTCTCTCATTAAAAAGGCATGTGGTTCAACATCTGAGTTCTCTGCTGGATAGCAACGTCCATGAGGCAGGATCCTGATTGTTCAGTTGACCCCTAGGATCCAGCCCCATGCTGCCCACATTCCAGACTTCAACAAATATTTTATGAGTGAAGGGATAGACACTTCACAGGAAAGGCCAGAGAGGGCAGATGAAGCCAGTAAGTGGGAAAGCTGATGAATTGGGAGTAGAAAAATGTAGGAAATCGTGGCAGGTACAAAAAGGGGAGGAGATAAAAAGGATGAAGTGTTGTTGGGTTATAATCATAGGGAAAATTTCCCAAAAGTTTGCTTTTATTATTAATAAACATGAATTGAATCAGTGGGATAACATTTTTCACCTATTAAACTAGCAAAATTTACAAAAATGGTGATACTCAATGCTGGGAAGAATGCAGTGAGACTGACACCCACACGTATTGCTGAAAAGAATATCCTTGTTTCGACCTTTCTAGAGTAGTGCCTTCCACATAGTAGGCACTCAATAAATCTCTTATATGAAGAGTATAATACTAATAATTATGGCTTTACTTATTCAAAACTTCTGTATCAACACAGTTGTTAAAATTTTACATATATTAATTCATTTAATAAGAACACCAATAATTAGAAAGCATGTAATAATATGTATCATGAAACTTAACAATATTTATAAGCTTGGGTCCAGAAATTTCACTTCTAGAACTTTGTCTTAAGAACAAAATCAGAGGGGTGCCTGGGTGGCTCAGTGGGTTAAGCCTCTGTCTTCAGCTTGGGTTGTGATCTCAGGGTCCTGGGATCCAGCCCCGTGTCGGGTTCTCTGCTCAGTAGGGAGCCTGCTTCCCTCTCTCTCTCTCTGCCTGCCTCTCTGCCTACTTGTGATCTCTGTCTGTAACATAAATAAATAAATAATCTTTAAAAAAAAGAACAAAATCAGAAATGTAGACCAAGTTTTATGTACAAATATGTTATTCAGAGTGTTATTAGAAGCAGCTATATATATGATATATCAATTTATTAAATGCTATGCAATCAATACTGTGTATCATGTTTTAAAGCAATATTTAATGGCATTGAAAAGTGTGATATAATGTCAGATAGAAAAATCAAGATATAAAGTTATATATATAAAGTTAATCTAAGTTTTATAAAATATTCATACATTCATTTTTTAAATTTTTTATTTTTTTATCCTGTTATGTTAGTCACCATAAAATACATCATTTGTTTTTGATGCGGTGTTCTAAGATTCATTGTTTATGTACCACACCCACTGCTCCATGCAATATGTTCATTTTTAAAAGCCTGAATGGATACATGTTAACATTTTAACATGGGTATCTCCAGATAGTAAGATAATGAGTGATTTTTATTTTATTTCTTATTTTCTCTACTCTCTAAAATTTCTACAATCAGTATATATTGTCTTTATAGGAGAAATAATTTAAGATTACTTGAGAAAAACTTGACCTGTCTGAGAAAAGAAAGTTAGCCATAATGATGGCATCAAACATTCATTGACCAAATGCTAGGTCCTGTGGGTGCAGGCATGATAAGCTAAACCCCTGTCTAGTGGTAAGAGACAAGTACAAGACAAGGATGCTATAAGGTACTAACTGTGCTGCTGGAAATATGTTCAAAGCTCTGAGGAAGTGATGAGGCCATATTTGTGCTGGGTGCTGGCAGCATGAGTAGAAGCTGGAAACATTGAAGAAGAGAGCAAGGGGCAGGGGTGGGGGGAATCCCAGACAGAGGAGATATGATGTTGAAAACCTAGAGATGTGGAGCTTATAGAGATTGGGCAGGATGGCTGGGACACAGGCCCAGTGAGGGGAGAGCAGATATGACAGATAGGGTAAAGAACTTCAGCAGTGGTAGAGAACTTCAGGTTTTCCCTCCTCTAAATGACTGTATTTACCAAGTACTGTTACCTGGAACTGTGGCCCTGTGAAACAGTCTACAATGCAAAGATTTCTTGCCCATATAGCCTCAGAAACACTGATGTCCTCTTCATGCTTCACAGGGCACAGATAGGATGTTAAAGAATCTGAGAAGACTGATAGTAATCAACCAATAGATAAAAGAACGATTAATAACAAGGAAAACACTGAGGTGCCATAACGCAGAGTTATGTGTCCAACTCTGGATTTTGTCTGGGATCATGATCTCAGGGTCAGGAGTTGGAGCCCTGCTTCAGGCTCCACACTTAGCACAGGGTCTGCTTGTTCCTCTCCCTCTGGTCCTCTCCTGCTCCTCTCCACCCCGCTCATGCTGTCTCTCCTTAAAAATGAATGAATGAATGAATGAATGAATGAATGAATGAATGAATAGATAAACAAGTGTTAAGGAGGGGAAAAAAACAAGGAAAACACCTACGCTAATTCTTTTAACACAATACTTACCAAACTTGTTGGAGCTCTTTCTTTCTAAAGAAACTAGAATTTTCCAAAAATGCACTTTGAGAAGTGCTAGTGTATGAATGGGTGGATTTGAGGGGGGAAATACAGAAAAATGTAAAGTAATTAAAATATGCCTCAAATATCACCCGTCAGTGCTAACTATTCTTAATATTTTTGTGTATTGTTGTATGTCTCTATGTAACATTTGTCACAATTGAGATCATGTATAAAGATTGTTCTATACCTTTTCATCATGACCTATATGTCTCTTACACATATACTTTCCATAATTTTATTTATTGTGCTTCAGTTTCCATATTTTCTTTTGACCTGGTTTCCTTTACTAATTTTTCTATTCAGCTGGGTTTATTCTGCCATGAAACCCAGGAATAAAGTTTTAATTACAACTATATTTTTAATTTTAAAATTTTAATTTTATTCATTTTTAGTTTCCAAATCTCTGCTGAAATTCCCCATCTTATTATTTAATCACAGTTATTTTTAAGTCTGTGTCTGATATATGTCAAGACCTAAATGCCCTATAGGTCCATTTCTTATTGCCTCTGTTTTTCCTCTTAATTTTGAGTAAGTTCTTATCTTTTTGTTTGGTAATTTTTTATTAAATTCCAGACACTAAGTATAAAAAACTTTCTAGAGATGATTTGAGGCTCTGGATTATGCTGTATCCCTTCAGAGTGGATTTACTTTTTGCCCTGGGGGGCACTCTAGGCAGTGGAAAATCACCTTAGGTTATTCAGGGGTTGAGCTGACTCAAAGCTGAGCTTCAGTCTTTGTATATATGAGTATATTATTTCTGTTTGACTTTTACTCACAGTCCCCTGGGGGTCCCAAACTGAAAGTCTGTGATGTTTGCCAGGGCACTCCTCCTTAGACTACCCTAAGTCTGATTTTTGTCCCTCCATTCCCTGAGCTCAGCTTCTCAATCTCAGTGTGGCCTATTTTTTTTTTCACAGAATATCATGAGCATTCCCCTAAGACATGAATAGCACTGAAAATGGTTGCATTAGAGAGGATGACTAACTGTCCTATTTTTGCTATATTTTTCTAAGCTGGGGTATAATGATCATCTCTGTATGTACATCCTTAGCTCATTTTTTTTTCAGTGAGCATCTTAGCTTGGGCTGAAGTAAGTTTCCACTTGTCTTTTCTTCTAGGAATTTTACGGTTTTGGGTCTTATGTTCAAAACTTTGACCCATTTGAGCCTTTTCACTTTTTAGTGGTGCTTTTTAAGTTTTTATTTAAATTCTAGTTAGTTAACATATAGTGTAATATTAGTTTCAGGCGTACAATATAGTGATTCAACACTTCATACAACATCCAGTGCTCATCACAGAAAATGCGCTCCTTAACCACCATCACCTGTTTCACCCATCCCCCACTTACCACCCCTCCAGTAATGATAAGTTTGCTCTCTGTAGTTAACAACATAGTAAAATTTGTGGGAGTCCAATGCAGGACTCAATCCCAGGACTCTGGACTCATGACCTGAGCCAAAGACAGTCACTTAACTAACTAGCCACCCAGGTGCCCACTTCCCTCCACTTTAAATGGTATTTTTGGTAAGTGAAAGTTTTTCATTTTGCTGAAATCCAGTTTATTTATTTATTTATTTATTTA